GCAGGTTGACCCTTCTGATACCCTTTTGCCATGAATTTCTGGCCTCCTCAGATAGCTGATGCTCACAGGAAAAGGGAAAGGTGTGAAGGGCAGTCTCATTGTTACTCCTCTTTGGGAGGAGAGGGAAACTGGATAGATTCATAGGGTATAGACGAGGCATAACCATGGAGACACCGGCTTCCCCTGGAACATGCACCCTACTCCATGGCTTTTCTGTTGCTAGAGTATTAGGCATGTAGGCATAACCACATCAAACTTTCTCTTGGCCAGATTCACCCAGGTTTTGTACGGATCAAATCCAAGGCAAAAGTATTGTTATTGTTGTGGAGTATCCCCTGATACCAAAGACACATCAAAGGAAAATAAAATTCAGACTAATATCCCTAATGAACACAGTATTCACCCCCTCATTGTAGTGAAGCACCCCTGGGTCTTGGGGAGTGCTTCACTACAATTTGAGGGTGAATACCTCTCACCCTACCCCACCCATGTGGTTCACAGTCAGTATTTTGTGGATGAGCCTTCAGGCTTTGATGGGAACATAATAAAGCATGTAGTATCTTGTGAGAACGCTCCATCAGCAGCTCCTCTGTTGTGGTTCCCATAAATGGGTGGCTCCCTGTCAAAATAAAGAATGACACCCCGGCTCAAGATGTCCACTAGGGGCACCTCATACTCTTTCCACAGGACAATGTCATAGGCAAGGTATGGGAGAGTACCCCAGAAACTGTTCAGCTTCTACCCAGCTGTGAATTTGGTGCAAAGGCCAAAGTATATGAGTTTGATGTTGCTCTGTTATCTGCCACCCTGCCTTCAGGTCTGAATACACAATGCTGTTCTCATGGAAGTAGCCCACAGCACACACTATCTGCCTGAAAAGTCTCTGGGCTTCCTCCTTCTGCATGCTGCCATGTGTGATGTGCTGAAGTAGTTGTCATCCACCTGCATGCTCCATCATGATGTAGATGTTTTTGTGAGTCCCAATAACCTGAAATAACTGGATCACACTGAGGGTGCTCCAGAGTCATCAACATGTTCAGTTCTGCACTACCTATGCAGGACTTTCACTGCCACTTCTGCCCCAGTGAGGCTATGGAAGGCTAGGCTCACCTAGCCAAATGTGCCATGCCCAATGGCCCTCAGGATCTCATAGTGGTTCATGAAGCCTGTTTCATTGCGGGAGCTGGGTCCCTGCAACAGGGAAATTTGTTCTAATGAAGTCAGTATCCCCTGATACCAAAGACATATCAAAGGAAAATAAAATTCAAACTAATATCCCTGATGAACACAGATGCAAAAATAAAATATTGGCACATCACATCCCAAACACTACTCTGACTACTCTGGCAATACATCCTTAGCAAGAGCAACAATTAAGGATACTAGCTTAAAAAAATCAAACCAAATCAAACTCAAAACAAGAAATCAAAATAAAAAACTAGAACAAGACAAAAAAAAAAAAAAACGAAATCAAAAAACTAATATCCAAAGACCACAGCCACCAGCAGCTAACCACCAAACATACCATCTCAAAGTCTGACAAGTCACCACCAAGAGCTTTCTGTACTTGTGGACAAAAACTCAGCTACATGCACCCTCAGTGAAGTGCATACTCTTGGTGAGTATGGTCTTGGCAATTCCTGATGCCCAGTAATCCAATAAATTTTCACTTGATCCACTTCTTAAAGATTCCACCAGTCAACATCACCACACTGAGGAATGATCTTCCAATACAAGAACACTTGGTGGGTGGGCAATGTTGTATCCAAAGCACAATAACACTATTTCCTTATTACATTGATGATGTCTCCTGGGTTTATAGTTATTAATATTCCATTTAATACTTAATATTGAAAAACTGTATATTCTTTTCTTCTTCAATATTTTTACAAATTTATGAAATTTATTAATAATTTCAAATAACCTGCTCTTCTTCTCATTGATTTCTTCCAGTGTTTCTATTTTCAATATGATTAATCTCTACTCTTATCTTCATTAAATTATTTCTTCTGCTTGATTTTGGCTTATTTGCCCTCCAACCACTCACCTCCATTCATCAAGATTTCATAGGTGGTAAAATGTTTATTAATTTGTGCGTATTCATCATTTCTATTATATTTTTAATGCTATCAATTTCCAAGTACTATTTTAGATGTATTCTACAAATTTTTAAATGCTTTATTTCACAAGGTTCAGTGTCTATTTTATTTCCATTTAAACTTCCTGGACACACAGATTATTTAGAAGTGTGCTTATCTTCCAACATTTTAGAGATTTCTTTTATCTTACTAATTTCTAGTTTGACTCCTTTGTGGTGAGAAACACTCTGAGTGTAATTTTAATTTTTAAAAAATTTGATAATTTTGTTTTCTGGCATAGGGTGTGGTTTGTATTGCCGTAGGTGCTTTGGGCAAATTACAAGAATTTTTGTTCTTTTATTGGCTAAGTGAATTATATCTCTTGTATTATTTTCTTAGAAAATGTTAAGTTCTCCTACATCTTCACTCTTTTATGCCTAGTTGGATGATCATTTGTTGAAACACTTATTTATTCTCAAAATCTAATGCTTTAATCACTTTCTTTTTACCTCTAATCTCACCCAAGAAAAATAAATAAATAGGTAGATATAGAAATCACAACAATATCAAAGTTATCCATACTCAATAGGAGCATAAAACTGGATCATTCAATAATGTGATAGTAGTCTCATGTCTCACACTGACTTGTCCATCTCACTTGACTGCCAGATTCTTAAAAGTACTTACATTGATCCCCTCAGATTTACATGTTCTTTTGTTTTGTTTGTTTGTTTGTTTGTTTCCCCTTTGGATGATTTTTCTAGATCTATTCTGGCTTCTTACTGAAAATTCTGGTATTACCTGTTCCTCAATCTGACCTAAATCTTAGAGTCACTCTTGTGTTATTTGCCAGGTCAAGATTGTCCAGACATTTTTCTCGGTCAGGAGCAGCTGACACCAAGGTTTTCAATTCTTTTTATCATCTCTCATTTCTGTGCACTCTACTTCTCTCCCACTAGTATGATATGTCCTTCAGAGCTCTCAGCTTCTTTGTAAATTCTCCAGAATTCTCCAGAAGAGGATTAACCATGGACTCTAAGGTCCACCATCCTATCACAAATAGAATAGTTCCACATTTGTCTTTGAGATATGAAGAAGAAGGAAAATATGGTTGAGACAGTCTACTTTTATACAAAGTATTCTCACACTAAACAGCATTAAGGACCACCACTGATCTTCATTAGTATTTGTTTCTATTTTCCAACCTCGAATGGGCCTTCAAGATAGTTTTTTGATATATTTACTCATATTCCATTCTTCCTGTGCCTGTACACAACCCATGGACTCTACAAAATCATCTTTCTCTCCTTTCACTCTTCACAAAATTTTGCCCCTTACTTCACTGAGAATTGTGCATTCAGGCACTAGAAATTGAATCAACTTGACATTTATTAGTCAAGGAAACCAGCTTTCTGCTCTTTATACATTGTCTCCCTTGCCCAGAGAAACACAAGTGCTTTCTTATTCTTAAAATGTCTAAAACAGAGCCTCCTCCCAGTCTCCTCCAAGCATCTATTTCCCTCTTTTATTTTCAATCATTTTTTCTTCTCATCTACTTTTCCACAAATCTTTCAACTAGACCCACCCCAAACTCCCTCAACTCTACTTTCCCTCAGGCTACTAATTCATCTCTACTCTCACCATCAAACAAATGACAAATGGGGCCTATGCTCACTACCCCACTTCCTTAATAGATGTTTATTTTACAATTTAAAGAACATAGAAAATTGGAAGACTTCCCATGATCTTGGATACTCCAAATTAATAGTGACAAAATGACCATGCTGCCAAATATATCTTCATGAATTTGGTTGCCTTTGTCATTGGCCCTATGCCTAAGTTGCTCTTCCAAGTGACCCTCAGGAACCCTGAATCCACAAGTCTCTTCTCAATACTCATCTACCTCTCTCTTGAAGTAAACATCTTCCTAGTTAATTCATAATCTCCCTAGAATATCCCATTGCTTTAAATCTGCATACATTCTGGTGAAAAATCCACTGTCATTTGAATTTATTTTCTCCTACAAGTAGAATTTCTCACTGCTTTCAAGATATTTTAATTCTGTCTTTAGTCCTAACTGCTTATCATATCACCTTTATCAGAGTTTTTTAAAACATCCTTGTCAGAAAATTCTAGCATGTCTGTTTATCAATTTGACTTTTCCATTGATATCCTGAAAAAGAAATAGAAAAGTTTCCTTACTCACAATGACCCTCCTCCCCGCCCCCAGCCCCCCAAAAACTACTAAGACATAAGTCTAAGCAAGAAGATGTAAGACCTATATAATGAAAACTATAGAACACTGATGGAAAAAATTGAAGAAGAACATAGAAAATGGGAAGACTTACCATGATCTTGGATACTCAGAATTAGTAGTGACAAAATGGCCATGCTGCCCAAATATTATACAGTTTCAATGCAATGCCCATTGGATTCAGGAACCCTGAATCCACAAGTCTCTTCTCAATACACTTCTTCCTAATTAAACATCTTCATAGTTAAACCATGATTTCCCTAGAATATCCTACTTGAGATATACAGTTTCAATGCAATGCCCATTAAAATATTAATGACATTCTTCACAGAACTAGAAGAACACTTATAAAATTCATTTGAAATAATAAGAAACCCAGACTAGCCAAAGGAATCCTGAACAAGAAGAGCAATAATCGAGGCATCACAATATCTGACCTCAAATTATGCTAGAGATATAATAACAAAAACAGCATGCTATTATTAAAAACATACATGAAGATCAATGGAATATAAGACACAGAGAAAAAGCCACATAAATATTGTCATCTGATACTCAACAAACCTGCCAAAAACATACATTGGAAAATAGAAATCCTGTTTAACACATGGTGCTGGGAAAAGTTGATATCCACATATATAAGAATGAATTGACCACTATCACTTTACCTGTACAAATGTTGATTCAAAGTGGATCATAGACTAGGAAGTAGACCAGAAACTCTGCAACTGCTGAAAGAAAATGGAAACTCACTTAATAAATGGACAAAAGAACAAAAGACATTCTCTAAGGAAATACAAATGACCTATATATATGAAGTACAAAGAGGGAAGTTTATTGGAATATAATCCTACCTTAAAAAGAAAACAGGATTCCAAAGAAACAACCCAACTGTATTTCTCAAAGAACTATAAAAAGAATAGAGGAAGGCCAAATTTAAGAGAATAAAATAAATGACAAAGATTATAACAAAAATACATTAACTAGGAAATGAGGAAAAAATCAAAGAGAAGAATACGAAAACTAAGGATTTCAATGGAGAAATATTTAAAAATAAGGAAGTATGAAGGAGAAGAAAACAATAACTGAAACAACCAGGAAGATATAACTAATATATATACACATACATACACACACACACACAACATCACAATACCTAAGTAAATATATAAAACAAATTATAGCTGAGAGGACATAAGGCAACATGAGAGAAGTTCCTGCTTGAATGGGATTAGTGCCATTGTAAGGGAGGTCTGAGAGAGACCACTCACCTTCTGCTAAATGAGGACATAGTAAAAATGTGCATTATGTGAACAAGAAACCAGATGCACTATTTTGCAGTGCCATGATCTGGGACATACCAGATTCCAGAACTATATGAAGTGAATTTCTATTGTTTACAAGAGACCTGATTATTACACATAGCAGAACAAATGTACTAAGAAAATTTTATTCCTCTATTCCTCCTTTCAGCTATAATTTGCTTTTTATATTTACTTAGGTGCTATGATATTGGGTGTGTATATATTTATAATTGTTATATCTTCCTGTTTGTTTCAGCTATTGTTTTCTTCAACTTCCCACTTTCTGTTTTTTTTATTTTTTAAAATATTTCTTCATTGAATCCTTACTCTTTTTGATAGTCTTCTCTTTATCTATTTACATACTATAATAATTATTTTGATTTTTTGTTTGGGTAAGTCTGCTTCATCTCTACACAATTCTCCATTTTCCTCCCTTTGCTGTTTGAGTTGATGCTTGCACATTAGTTAAATGGACACCTCTCCTAGTTTTCACAGATCACCTTACAAAGAGGCCCAGCCAAATATTCTGGGAACCTTGTTTTAATTATTTTCCTTCTCCAGGTTGAATCTAAGGGATGTTTTTAATCTGCTCACTCAGTGCTATACTGAAGAAAGGAGCTATGGAATCCACCAGTCTAAGCTAATCTTCTCTATCCCAGCTATTGGAGCTTTGGATAGATTATTTTCTCTCACTGGGACAAAATGAGAGATGAGCTTTTTGGTCTATTGTATACTGTCAGGAGGGGAGGAGCTACAGCATCTACCAGTCTAACCACTATATCCATCCTCCTCCAGAAAGCTAACCTTTGCAAGCATGACAAAGCTTCAAGATGGCAAAAAAGAAGTAAATCCTCCAAGAAGTCACCTCAAAATAATGTATGAGTACGTCAATTCTCTGCCTTCCCTAGGTTTGCTGTAGGGATTCTAGTGAGAGTGTCCCAAATCACCCTCTCAGTACTGATGAGTATCACCCTGTCAGTACTGATGAGTTAAGTATTATATTTGCTGGAGGTGAAGGAGTCTTTTAGTTACTTTCTGTATTTCTTTTTTATTTAATATTTATTTATTTATTTATTTTTTTGTTTTCGGCGAACACAACCTCTTTGTATGTGGTGCTGAGAATCGAACCCGGGCCACATGCATGCCAGGCGAGCGCGCTACCGCTTGAGCCACATCCCCAGCCCCCAACTTTCTGTATTTCTCATAGAGGAAATTTGCCTGTGAATTACCAATGAATTGGTGATTTTGTGATGGAAAAGAAAGTAAAAAACTTCCTACTTTGCTCTCTTGTTGATGTTACTCTCCTGAAATATTTTAAATAGATAACTATTGTGAGATATAAGTCTAGAAATATGATTGTCAAGGTAATCTACAAATATATACAAAATATGCATGTAAGTTTGTGTATTTGTATGCAAGTATACTTGTATTTTTATATACATGTGCTTACATGTGGATGTGTGTATGTTTATATATGTGCATGAATATACACGAGTGTAGTATTTTTTCATCAGTGGATTATTTATGTAGTTTTCTCAAAGCATTTTTGATTACTTTGGCTTTATAGTTATTCAATTATTATTTTGTTATAATTCCTTTGTATTGACACTCATCAGCACTCTTGCTCTTCTGTATTTGTGTGGCAAAATTATTAACACTATTTAAATGTAATCTTCTCTATGTCTGCTTCTATTAGGATAAACGTAGTTGAATAAAATGCATAGCTAATTTGTGCTCTCACCACAAATTTGTAGCCATCAATGTCTTTCTCATTAAAGCTTTAACATTACCACTATTTTCTCATAGATTAGCCAGTGTATCATTTACTTATATCACAGTACCTTGCCTTATCTTCTGTTCTCAAATCCTCATTATCTCCTTCTTTGCCTACTCTTTCAGTTGAAATTCTTGCTTCTCACTTCACAAGAAAAACTGAATAAATAAGAATATATCTCCCACATTCCCACCCCCAGATTATCTATCATTATCCTCTGTATATTCCTACTCTTTCCCTCTCCTCTTTGTCATAAATGAATTACCCATGCTTTTAAGTCAATCATTCCCCTTCTGCATTTCATTCTGTCCTCTTTTGACTACTCAAAATATTGCCCCTGCAATTGTTCACTTTGATTACCAACATTTTTATCTTTGATAGGTCAATACTATCAGTATAGAATCATATTGTTATTTTTCTGGAATTAAAATTTTTTAAATGACTTTACTTATTTTACCATTTACTGTTGAATGTTTTCCTTTTCTTTGCAGCAAAATTCCTCAAAATCATTGTCTATTATTTTGGTTTCCAATTCCTTTTCCCCATTCCTTCTCTTTAGAAGTGTCCTCCAAAGTTGCATTTATTGAGGTCACTTGGTTTCTAAATTAAGTGTTTCTCAGAAATTGATTTATGAGTGAATTAATTACATCCTCTAATTTGAATCATATTCTTCACTTGACTTCCAGGACAACACATTCTCTTGACTTTATTCCTATTTCTATGACTCAGACTTTTTACTTTTCTTTGTTGGCTCCTCCTCCACAATAACCTCTTAATGTTGAAACATCACAGAATTTTTTCATTCTCTTTATTCACTGCATTGGATGATTCATGAGTCACATGTATAGAAATACCATCAGTACTCCAACCACTTCCCAATTTACACCTCCAATCTGGACCTTATTTCCAAACCCCAGACTCAAATATCTATCTACCTGACATCTCCATTGTAAATATTCAGTTCAAATATATCGTACACAATATTCAACTCTTACAATATCAGTCTTTATCATTTTCATTTAAAAAAATTTAGTGATACAAATCTTCATTATATTCTACAAGAATATAATTCTTGTAATGAATGGTCAGCTTATGTACCGTAACTCATTATGTAAAGACATGATCTTCTACTACTTCCCTGTTATCTCAATGGTCTAGACACTAGGTGGTTTATTGTTCCTTCACTATACCAGGACACTTCTAGCATAGAAAATTGATGGCTATTTCTTCCCATGTGGTCATCTGCTAAATTCACTCACCTCCTTATAATATTTGTTCTATTATTAACTTGTAAGTGAGGCATCCCTTAACCAGTCTTTAATAATTGAACATTTACCCATGAACTATGTGTATTGTTGGATCTTGAATGTTACCACATAGCTTATGTGTTGAAAGCATGGTGCACAAGGCTGGAAGGTTCAGGGAGAAGCACTTAGACAATGATTGGATCATCACGTCTCTGACCCTTATGAAGAGCCGCTGGGAGCTGATTGGACTACTGGGAGGTGGGATGTCACTGGAGAAAGTAAGTCACTGGGGCTATGCTCTGGAAGAAGGGTTGATTTTTTTTTTCTTGGTGGCTCCTTCCTCTTTCTTTCTCTGCTTCCTGGTTGCCATGAACTAAGCAGTTTACTGCATCACGAGTGTATACCAATGCTTGCTAATTTTGTAATGAAATTTGAAGGAAATGTAGTACTTTTAAAAACTGGAGTAATTGGTATACAATTTCAATCAGTCCTATATAAACTCATATTCTGTATTACCAATTATAATATTTGAAATATTGAAATTAAACTCATTTACTATTATGTTTGTGCATATATATATACCATATATACAACTTGCTTAAAATAGAAGGCATATACTTATATTTTTATTTTTACTTTTAAGACTGAATGAGTACTTAAGATTTACATCTGATCAAACCTTTGCAAAATGCATCTAGGTTGCTAAGCAGCAGTGATTGAAAAAAAAAGAAGACAGTTATGAAGAAACATATGAAAGACTGAAGGAAAGAAAGAAGAACTTACTTAGCTACAAAACAAAGGGTTTGATTAAATAAATGATTGCCTGAAAGATGAAGAATGGGTTCTTTAAAAATTCTTTACTGAAATACATTTTATTTCATTTTGGAGCATATTCTTTTTACACATGCATTGAGTTTTGAAACTACCACAACAGATAGATGGATTTCTAGTATTTTTTTAACAAAATGGAAGAAGATATTAACAACTAGAAGCAGCATGAAGAAGGAATGAAAGAAATAATATTGTATATTAGAATTGCTCAAAATCAAATAAAAAGTGGTTTTGAGTATCAAAGTCATCTAAAATGTCTCTTACAATCTTAGAAACTTAGATAAATACCCTTTCAAAATGTAAATATATATATATATATATTATTTTAAAATGGGTAACTTTGTTATTTTTATGTTTTATTTTAGTTCAATGAAATATACATAATAGTGACTTTCATACTGACTTATTCATAAGTGCTTATAACATTAGCTTTTTCATTTCAATAGTTAGTACTACTCCCTTTCCTTTCTTCTCCCCTCGCCTGATCCTCTTTCTCTACTTTATTGGTCTTCCTTCTGTTTATTTATTATTAATTGATACATTTATAGTTATGTATAAAATTGGAATACCTGTGA